TCCAAGAAAGACAGATCTGGTGGAAATATTTCCTCCACCTGAGCCTGGGGTGGCCCCCCTCAATCAATACTATAATATACTTATGCCATGGGGTTTTGGGGAATGTTTTAAAAAGAATCATGATAATTCACTCAACAAGTAGGACATGTCTCCTACATGTCAGGCAGCACAGTGAACGCTGGGGATCCCTTACTTAGGGGGTTTCTGAAGCAGGCAAGGAAGCATACATTTCAATAGAGCAGGGACAGCAGGTAAGAAACCAGCAAACAAACAAATAACATAACTTCAGACAGTACAGAGTCCTGTGATTAAAGCACTACAGGGCGATGTGCTAGATAGAGTACATGGAATGAAGGGACAGTGTCATGTAACTTGGTGATCAGGGAAGGGTCCTGAAGAGCTAGAGCAGATTCCTTTCCCTACTATTTTGAAAGGACCTTAGCTCTTTTATGTTATCCATAATCTGCTCATTTCATAGATGCACAAATGCAGGCCCAGAAAGTTCATCCAGCAGAGAGACCTCACCTGTGTTCTTTCTTCTCCACCACAGGCCCCCATAGATACATCCTTTTGGCCCCTATGATTGGAGTCCAGTCAAAATGACCTATATATCTCCATGTTTTTTCCTATCAGTGCTTTACAAATCTTTCAGATAATTTCTACTCACCAGAAGCTGGCTGTGTCTAATATTTTAGTTTCATTTCCCTGCAGTGGAAATGCAGGCATCTATGGGAGAAGGATAGGGGCATATCCTCAACCCCCCGCAACACACTTCATTTCTCNAGAAGCTGGCTGTGTCTAATATTTTAGTTTCATTTCCCTGCAGTGGAAATGCAGGCATCTATGGGAGAAGGATAGGGGCATATCCTCAACCCCCCGCAACACACTTCATTTCTCCATTTGAAATTTGCATAATAGTATAAAGAAAAGTTCTGACATTGTCTCTTCCTCTGTCTATGGTTTTTGGTATTTTCCAGACATTCACATGTTTTAAGTATTGCACTGGCTCTGCAAAACATGTAAACAACCTAAATGCCCCCTGATGAATAAATAGATAAAGAAAATGTTATATATCAAATCCTATACACACACAATGAAATATTCAGCCATAGAAAGGAAGGAAATTCTGTCATTTGCAACACTATGCCAAGTGAAATAAGCCAGATAAAGACAAACACTGTATGATCACACTTACATGTGGAATTAAAAAAAAAAAAATAGAGCTCATATATAGGGAATGGATTGGTGGTTACCAGAGGCAGAATGTAGGAGATGGCTAAGGTGGTTAAAAGGCACAAACTTCCAGTTACACCATAAGTTCTGAGGATGTAATGTATAGCATGGTGATTACAGTTAATAGTCCTCTTAACAGTATCTGAAGATTGCAAAAAGAGTATGTCTTAACAGTTCTCATCACAGCAGCTGGGGGTATAGCTCAGTGGTAGAGCACATGCTTAGCATGCATGAGGCCCTGGGTTCAATCCCCAGTTCCTCCATCTTCAGGGCTTTCCTTGTGGCTCAGCAGGTAAAGAATCTGCCCACAAAGTGGGAGACCTGGGTTTGATCCCTGGGTTGGGAAGATCCCCTGGTGAAGGGAAAGGCTACCCACTCCAGTATTCTGGCCTGGAGAATTCCATGGACTTTACGGTCCATGGGGTCGCAAAGAGTCGGACACAACTGAGAGACTGTCACTTCCACTTCACTTTCACTTTCATCACAAGAACAAAAACTCTGTAACTCTGTGAGGTGATGGCTATTGACTAAACTTATTGTGATAATCATTTCACAATTATACATATATCAAATCATTATGTTGCACACATAAAATGAACACAGTGTTATACGTCAATTATATCTCAATAAAACTGGGGGAAAACACATTTGAAAAAAGAGTGCAGATGTGGGAGGAGAGGGAAGGGGAGTTGAAGACCTAGCTCTGTCACCAACAAGCACGTGACTCTGAGTGAACTGCTCTATCTCACTGAGCCTCGGTTTCCACATTTGTAAAATGTGGATAATGACAGTGCCCACCTCAGAGAATGGTAGTGAGGATGAAATGTGATAACTGAATTATAACACAACATGTTTGATGACATCTGCTCAAAAATACACAGACATAACTTAGGAAGTCAACACAACTATTACCCCATGTGACAAAGGAAGACATAGGTATTTCACACCCTGCTCAGGGTCACTCAGGTGCTAAGGGAAAGAGCTGGGATTATGTGAAGAAGAAAAGCAGTTCTTACCATGTGTGACATAGTAAACATTCAATAAGGTCCAGCATGTGTGACCCTGCTCTATCCGCAATATTTTCTGCAAATGTCAATGGGATGATTTGTCTTTCTGGAAAAATGAGCAATATCCCATCACTCCAAAGGTTTCCACTCTTTAACTGGTCCATTCCCCTGAGGTTAAATTGTCATTTTATCATCCTAGCCTTGGAGTGAAACTGAGAGTGTGAATTCACATGTCGGCATTGTTCATGTTCTCTCTCTTAAAGCCTGGGCCTTTGGTAACACAACCATATTTATTTTAATAAAACTGCTTTATGACTTGCTTGCCCTCTAAATTCCCTCTGCTCTTTGGGGAATGCTGCTGACAGGCGGTGAGGCTTTGCTGTCGTCCCTGTGCTAGGATTATAATTAACTGCCACGGAGAGGGAGTCTGGGGGAGGGGCAGAGGGTGGACGACAAGGGCAGTGCTTTCATTTCAGAGTCTGGCTTCTAGTCTCTTGTCAGAGGAGACTGAAGATCTCCTCTTGTCTGACCTGCTGGCTTAGACACCAGTGCCCAGCCCTGGATAAACAGACAAGATAAACAGCCCTGTCCACAGTCAAGAGTTACCCCTTTTAAAAGGCTAGCACACGTGGGAAATGGCAGGGTTGGGATCTGCAGGGCCTCTGCCTCTTTAAAATCTCATGAGCTTGCTCTCTGTAAACCAGCGGCAGGTTATGGCTCCCAGTATCCAGACGGATAGCCTTCTTCCCATGAAGGTAGTTTGTCATTCTGTTGTTACTACAATTAAAGCTGCCTGCCTCCCTTGAAATGTTATGTTGCCCCAGGGTAAGTTAAAACCAATGAAATGTTCATAGCTTGTGGACCTGGAAGGAATTGTGGAGTGGAGTGTTTGTCAACATGAAGTCAAAGAACCACCTCCATGGGGACTGTCTGGACTGTGTGCTGGAATTGTAGTCCTGATCCTCATCACTCCTACTTTATCAGAATCTTTGGACTCTGGGCCCAGAGATCTCAATTTTTAATAAGTTCCCTCAGGTTATTCTAATTTCCAGTGACGCTTGAGAGACAAGGAGATGGAGAAACAGATTCAGTCATCTGAATTACAGATCAATACATTGAGAAATTGAAATTTGTCCCTGAGGAGAGAGAAAGGCAATATTCTGATTTTCTGACTCTTACACAAACATTTTTGACTTTGTTTTTGTTTGTTTTGTTTTATGACACCACATTCTTTTTAACTTTATGGAAACTGAAAAATACCCTTCACAAACTTTACACTGGGGCCTGCTTATCCAAGGTCAAGGCTTAGCTGAGACAGGGGGCCAGGAGCTTTGGCCAATCCAAGCTTTATTATTGTTCAAACCAGGAGAGATACATTTGGGAGAAAAGAACTAATTAGAATGTAATGGTAAAATCAAAGAAGAGGCAGTAAAAAAGAGTAAGGATATATGTTGTTTGTGACTTGATCAAGAACATTTCCTTACTACACAAAGAGTTATCTCTTTAAGGCAATTTTACACTGACATGATTGTCTCTAGATTGTCTCTAGTCTCTAGCAAAAATGTCTTAATGCCTGTCACGTATTTCAAAATGATTTCCTGTCCACGATTCTGTTTGATATCAGTACCGCTCTAATAAGAGAAGCATTAGCATATTCATTTAATGGATGAGACTCAGAAGCAAAGAAACTTTCTTAAGTCTAATTAGCAATTGACTGAAGCAGACCAGATATAGGAAGGGATATTACTATGAATTTTTTTTTTCAGAATTTACTATGTGCCAGGCAGCTCTCTGAGCATCTGACATGAGTTTTCTCATATACTCCTCATCCCTCCTTTATATACGTGTCTAATTTAAACCTCCTCCCAGCTCTGCAGGATAATAGTAAGGTATAAGGATAGCAATCGCCTTTCAGTCATTCATCTACTCATTCAACAAATATATGTTGAGCTTTTCAGCTCAACATATTAAATTAATTTAATTAATTTATTTAAGCTCCACTGATAGGTAAGTGAGACTGCTGTCACAGTGATTACACTTGACTGGGGAGACAGAAGCATTAAACAAGTAGTCTATATATAAATACAAAACCTGTGCTGAGATGAACCAGGAAAAGGCAGGCCTTAGGGAGTGTGTAGACCCAGGAAGTGCTCTGTTTTGGAGATTGTAGTCAGATGCTTGACTAGAGCTGACACTCGCAGGAGGTGTGGAAGGAACATGCCGCTAGCTGGGGAAGAACAAGGGCAAAGGCCCAAATGTGATGGGCGTGTGTCCCCTGGTCCAGCGAAGAGGCTGGAGCAGAGTGATCTGGGGACAGCAGTGGGAGGAGATGAGTCAGATGATGGAGAGCTGGAGCGGGGAGGTCCTGATGTGATGGGCTAATTTCTATGACTGAGAGAGACGGGCAGCCTTGGAGGGTTCTGAGCAGAGGAATGACACGATGGACACGCTTTACAAAGATTTCTCTAAATGCCTCACGGGGAATAACTGCAGAAGGCAAGGGTGGGACCTGATCCAGGCCACACGCTTATTCATTTATCCAGAGGTGGTGGCGATGGGGAGTATGGTCTGAATTTTTACATCTGGCTTCCTGGGCAGGCAGAGCTCATGAGCAGGGTTTTCTCATTTTGTGTGCTCACATCCTTTCTGCCACACACAGGGAATCTGCCCATGTCCAGGGGTTGGTGCCCCCTCTGCCAACCGGCAGACAAGAGCCCACTGAGGCAGGGCGGCAGGCGGGCCGCAGGAAGCCCCACTCACCTTGGACTTCTCCTGGTGCAGCTCTATCTGGATGTCTGTGAGCTTGGTCCTGAGGTCTTCGTTGGCAGCTTGAAGGGCGACAATGAGCGCCTCGGGCTTCTCGCCCTTATTTCGCCCTTTCTTGGACATTATTCCTTTCTGAATGGAGTCTGTTGGTGTTGAATTCCTCTCAAGCAGGGGCTGCCATGTTCCTGCGGCTTCTCCTGGGTGCGACGGCTCAGCAGCTACTGCGTGCTGCCCCTCGGGAAGGTCTCCTCAGCCACTGCTCTGGAAGCCCTGGGGGAGGCAGAGAGTGGTTACTGCCACGCCCGAGGCCTGGGCCGCCTGCCCGTCCCGCACTCAGCCGGAGCTGCCTGCGAGAGCCCCCTCCTACGGGCTCCCAACCACTCGGTACATGAATTTAGGGCTGTCTTCCCAATGGGCTAGTCTGATCACGTCAGTGCCCCACTTAAAATCTTTCAAAGGCCTATGAGTCTGTGTACGAGTGTATCTTTCACATCTCAGAGTGCTCTTTACACCTGAATCTGCCCATTCTCCTAGCCTTACTTCCTCCACATCACTCAGTTATATCCTGGGTGTAAAGATTCTTTCTCTCTTCCCATAAGGACTTTTCATTTCCCCCCATCCCTTGCCCTGCCTCCTCACACGGTCCTCAGGGTCACACGCTGCCATACAGGCAGTTTAGTCTGACCAACCTTCATGACTCCGTCAGGTCTTAGCTGGCAAGTTAGTTCCTCCTGGAAGCTCCCCAACTGACCCCACCCCAGGTAAATACAGGTCCCTGTTTTTTAAGTGTGGTCACCTCCATGAGTCTGTAAGCTTTATGATGGTGATGATGATGAAGATATGTAGGTAGGGATAAAGGTTTGTTGTTTTTGCCTTGGAAAACTAACATTTTCAATTTCAACATATTGTACTTAGCATAACATATAGAAGCCTATAGGGACTTCCCTGATGGTCCAGTGGCTAAGACCCCTTGTTCCCAATACAGGGGTCCCGGGTTTGATCCCTGGTCAAGGAACTAGATTCCACATACCACAATGAAGAGTTAGCATCCCGCAACAAAGGTTGACAATTCTGCATGTTGCAATTAAGTCCTGGCAACCAACAAATTAAAAACTAAATTAAAAAAAAAGAAGTCTATAGTTTATAGTGTAATTAGTCAATAGTCTATACTGACTAAATAAATGAGTGACTCAATTAACCAACTATAGTAAATCTCCACATCTCAGTTTATCTATTGTATATTTCTAGGTCTTTTTATATATTGGATTTTCTTAAAGTCAAGTCTGTCTATGAGGAAACCATAAATCATCACATAGGTGACTTTCTTTCACAAATACTAAACTAAGTAGCTGGAATCTTTCTTTCTTCCCCTAGTAGGTAACAAGAAAGCTATTGAAGCCCTTGGCTGGTAGGTGCCCTAACAGAGCAGTGCTTTGGTGTGGTTGTTCTGGTGGCATAGCAGGGAGAGAATGAGGAAGGGAGACCAGGTAGGCCACTAAACTTCCAAGGTGAAGGATGATGTAGACCCAATCAGAACAGCAGTGAGAAGAAAGAAAAAAAATGATGTGTCTTGATTTACAAATCTTTAAATGTGTCATAGGAACAAGGAGGTAAGAAAAATATAAATCCTAAACTGTTAAAGTCAGTGCAAAAAGCACAGCTAGATAAAGAAGATACTAGAGAGTTTCTCATGCAACGTTTCAGAAAATTGAGCGTTTTGTATCTCTAGGTGCTTCAGTCCAGAACTAAGGGGAATCCCTACTGATGATCCATATGTTCCAGTAGCTGCTGCTCTACGCAGCAGCTGCTGACGCCTGGTAGTCAGCCTTGGGGACCATGCTGGGATCCTGGGCTTTCTGCCATTCACCCATGACCACTGGGGCTATGCCCTTTAGAGACTGCCTCTAGGGAAAGGGGATAGGGAAAGGTTAGGAAGTTAGATCAGTCTGTTGCCAACAGTCATGGAACCGTACACCATACTGTATGTACCCTAGGCTAGATGTTGGAGTGGTCCTTCATACTCATTTTGCAAATGTTGCAAAATAATTAAAGTGTATGGCTGAGAGACTTCTAAGTGGTTACAATTCATTGCTTCTAGAACTGAAATGAATTCAACAAGCATTTATTGAAAATTTGTATGACAAATACCACTAGGCACAAAGATAAGTAAGATAGTATTTAACTCCAAGAAGATTTTGGGTGAGAAAACTCACATATATATAGTTAACAGTATCTCCTCTAGTTTGTTCTCCAGATGTTGCTGGTCCCCAAGGCTTTGTCCAGGTTATCTCTACTGGCCCCATTTATAGGTTTTATGACCCCCTGTGTTATATTCATAGCCCTGACCATCCCCCAAACCCCAGACTTATATATTCAACTCCTTCTACCAAATCCACCCAGATATCCTATTGGTATTTCAAACCTAACCCAACAAATACAGATGCCCTTTTTAAACTAGTCCCTCAAAAACTTTATCCTCCCCAAATTTTCCCATATCAATAAATGTCATGATCACATGTCCAGTTGTTTCAGATCTTAGCTTAGAAGTCATCCTTTCTTTTTTTTTAAATCCCTTATTTACCTTATCCAGCCCATTAGGAAGTCTGGTTTCTTTTACCTATAAAATATGACTCACTTTATAGTCAACTTCTATCAGACCTTTATAGTATTGTCACAACACAGAGGAAAAAGCCATTTGGGAAAAGCTTCCTAGCCATATTGTTGTCTTGAATGAAGAATAGGCTTTTCATTTTCTCTTTTTTCCCCCATGCAAACAAACCTTTATTAGCATCTACAATTTACCTGCTACAGTAAACAGTGCTGAGGGCTCAGAGATATGTCATATAGCCCTGGAGGAGCTCACAGTTGATCGGCTCCATCAGTTAGAGTTGCAGCAGAAAAAGGTAATCCTGCTCAACTGAGAATTTAATAATGGGACTATCTACCGAAGGCTGAGCAAAGCTAAGGAAGCCTATAAGGGCTGTGGAGGTATATATCAACTTTAAAAGGAATGAGCCATCTCAAAATTGCTCTATGTAGGTTAAAAGGGTAAGTGAAAGACAGGTATGTCCCATAAACACGTCTTGTCTTGAAGCTTCAAGTGACTGAGATTTATCGGTTAGTTTGTTTAGCATCGTCAGTTGGAGGGGTCTCTCCCTTGTGCCTGAATGAAACCATACTCTGTTAACCTTTTCAACATAACCTCAAGAATTCTGACCTCAATGATCCTTAATTTCCTCTCATCATTGTGCTACCTGCAGACATCATTGCAATGGATCTTCCAATACTTTCCACTGTGGTTGACTCCATGGTATGTGTTGGAGTGCATGTATATTGTGTGGGCCTGGGACTCTTCTCTTTTGAGCTAGCCCTCTTCAACTACGCCTCAGCCCAGTAGATGTCCCAACTTTTGGAAGCCAGACGATCACCACTCCAGATTCCCTGAGCCAAGAATGGGCTATTCCAATTGGAGATACTCAAATGGGGGCTACCAGGTGGCTCAGTTGTAAAGAATCCACCTGACAATGCAGGAGCCTGAGGAGATGTGGGTTCAATTCCTGGGTCAGGAAGATCCCCTGGAGGAGGAAATGACAACCCACTCCAGTATTCTTGCCTAGAAAGCTCCATGGATAGAGGAGGCTAGCAGGCTACAGCCCATGGGCTCGCAAAGAGTTGGACATGACTAAGCGACTAAACAACAACAATAACAACATACTCAACATACTCAAATGACAGAGGCAGAAGCTTGAGAGAAACTCTGGAGTCACACAATTGATGTATGTAGAGAAGGTTGTAAAACTAGGAGAAAAAACTCCAGGGTTAGATTGCACAGGCTCTTGCATAATCAATGATTAAATTTAATTTAAAATGATTTCATTATGTAGAAATGGAGAAACATGGCAGTATATGAATATAAGTGTAATAATAATAATAATAATAATAACAACTTACACTGACCAATTGCTGTAAGCCCATCATTGAATTCAGCACTTAAAAATACTGCTCAAATCTAATGTGCACTAAAGATGCAGTGGGGAATAAGACTATTCACAGAAAGATTAAGTAACTTGCCTAGGATGACTGAGTGGATAGCCAGTGGGGCTGAGATTCAAATCCAGGCAGTTTGAAACTGAGACCCAAGGTGTATACCCTGGGTTACCCTGCCTCACGCTTGCATTTTAGAAAGGTAACTCTGGCAATGTGATGGAGGATGAGTTACTAAGGAAGGAGAGACTGGAAGCAGGAAATCAGTGAGTCTGCTTCAATGGTCCAGGTGACAGATAATGCAGTTTCTAAATGGGGCCACGGCCAAAAGGAAGTGGCAACACTGACACTGGAGACGTTGATGGAATCACATCCTACCTTTAAACATTACATTCTTTTCTCCTGTTGTAAATAACGAGGACCAGCTCTCTGTCATTGCTTGCAGCAAAAATGTGAGAAGCAACAGCCATATTTTACATTTTAATTTACAATCCTTTCCCCAAAATATAAAATATGTGCCTGACTTAATACATTTTTAGTCTGGAAATTATTGTGAACTTAAGTGCCATACGAACCAGATAAAAGAATAGGATTAATAAATTAGACATGTTCAGGAGAGAAAAAAATATCATAGGCAGTTGAGGATGGGATCAACTTATAGACATCTACCTTAATGTAAATAGCTGTTCATATAAGTATGGCCCTATGTAACCCTCTACTGGAGGTCAATTTTCCAAAGTCTTTTCCACTTGTGATGGGTGCTTGGAAGTCTTGTGATTCTCATTCGTAATTTCACTAAAACATTTCTGTTGCTTTGTGCTCTCCTTTCCCCTTTTTGGATAGTTTTATTGAGATATAATTCACATATCATAAACCTCATCTGTTTTTTAGCATATTCACAAGACTGCAAAAGCAGTACCATAGTTGATTTTAGTACTTTTCATCATGCCAAAGAGAAAGCCCATACTTATTCGTAGTCATTTCCCATTCCCACCAAACTCTCCCAGCCCAGGCAGTCATTAACCTACTTTTGTCTCTATAGATTTGTCTATTCTGGACATTTGTGTAAGCAGAATCATGAAATATGTGGTTTTTTTCTTTTTTTTTTTTAGTAACTGGCTTCTTCTACTTTAAAAGATTCATCCATAATATAGCCTGTATTAATATTTTATTTCCTTTATTGCTGAATAACATTCCATTAAATAACTAAAACTAGATTTTATTTATTCCTCTGTCAGTTGATGGGCACTTGTGCTGCCTTTGCTTAAGCAGCTTGATGTCGACCTTCCAGAGAGGCTGCCACATGCAGACAGACTCGGCCTCTCAAAGGAGTGTGCTCCAGAGCGCAACGGAGAGCTTGGAGACATCCCTGCAGACGCATGGAATGTTTCTGGACCACCCTCAGAGCCTCTGCCATTGACAACACCTGATGCAACAGAAGATCTGGAGGAGGGGCAGAAGTAATGTTCAATGATGGGCCCATCTGGTCACGAAGGACGGGGAGATGGCTTCTCCACTTCAAACCACCTGAAGCCATTTTAAATGAGCCCTAGGTTTCCAGCTTTTAGCTGCTGATGGCAGTGCGGGCCCCAGGGATCATTGTGAGGTATCAAAGGTGAGAATTTCAGCTTATCCTCTGGTCCTACCCTGTCATTAATCAGGTACCTCCCACAGCCACCAAGGCTGAGTTTCCCTGTAACCAAGTTTCAGATAACGATATCAGAAAATTTAGAGACACGCTCTTATGAGCAGTTGCATTTTAAAATAAGGATCACTGCTTGAGAGCAAACCTTAATGAAGGAATATATTGTCAATGGAAGAGTTATGGCCATCATTCATTCATTCATTCACTCCATAGACATTTATTGAGAAGGAAATACAGTGTAGTGTTTGAGAGTAAAGCTTCCCAAATTTTTGGTCTGGTTTTATTAAAATCTATTGGAGAGCTTTAGTGATTGGAGCTCCACTCTGGAGATTCTGATATAGTAGTTGCTGGGTGATTCTGATGCACAGGAATCTTTGAGAACTCCTGGTTAAGAGTTATGGACTATGGAGTCAGACAGACTTAATTTTAAATTTCACCTGTGTAGTAGATGTGGATCTTGGA